CTTATTTGGAGGATGGGTCTCTACAGAAGTAATGAAGTTAAAAGGTTATTAGAGTATGCCATGATCTGATATGGCTGGTGTGCTTAGAAACTGAGAAATATGCACAGAGATGCACATGTGTGCAGATGATATGAAGGGACACAGGAAGAAGGCAGCCATCTACAAGCCAAGGAGAGAAACCGGAAATACACGCTTCCTTCACAGTCCTCAGAAGGAATCAACCCTGCCAAACTCGACTTTTAACTTCTAACCTCCGCAACTATTAAACAATAAATTGCTATTGTTTAAGCCACCTGGTCTGTGATACTTGGCTGCAGCATCCATAGCAAGCTAGTACATAGGAAATAACCTGTACATGTCAATTAGCACTGATCTCAATGTATCTTCTTTAATAACAACCATGAGCAGTTACAGAGACTGCCAATCCCCGCACTAAGCTCTTGGAAGTATGTCTCAATGAATATTCAAAACTACCCTTCAAGTAAAGGTTATGTCATGAGATTATGTCTCAATAAAAACAAATTCAAAAAAACAGTAAGAAAAAGCAACCCTTTGAGGTAGATATAATAATTATTCTGATTTAAGAATTTAAATCTGAGTTTAAGATGAACAACTAGTACATGGACAGGTACAGAAATTGAAGCCAGGTGTCTGAGCACTCCCAACCTGTGTTTCCAAAGTACCACCCCCAGCTCCCCACCCCCTGCTTCTTTTCATTTCCAATGTGACAGCTGCATGAGAGTTACAAGAAGCTAGACCTATTTTCAATTCTGTGTTACTCCAGCACAAGTATACACCAGAGTGTATAAAGCTCACCAAATGAGATCACTCTTAGCTGACATAAATTTTAAACACACATTAAAGGACTAGGTATAACAATGGAATTTTATGCAGCCATAAAGAAGAATGAAATGTTATCATTCGCTGGTAAATGGATGGAATTGGAGAACATCATTCTGAGTGAGGTTAGCCTGGCCCAAAAGACCAAAAATCGTATGTTCTCCCTCATATGTGGACATTAGATCAAGGGCAGACACAACAAGGGGACTGGACTTTGAGCACACGATAAAAGCGAAAGCACACAAGGGAGGGGTGAGGAAGGTAAGACACCTAAAAAATTAGCTAGCATTTGTTGCCCTTAACGCAGACAAACTAAAGCAGATACCTTAAAAGCAACTGAGGCCCATAGGAGAAGGGGACCAGGAACTAGAGAAAAGGCTAGATCAAGAAGAATTAACCTAGAAGGTAACACACACGCACAGGAAATTAATGAGAGTCAACTCCCTGTATAGCCATCCTTATCTCAACTAGCAAAAACACTTGTTCCTTCCTATTATTGCTTATACTCTCTCTTCAACAAAATTAGAGATAAGGGCAAAATAGTTTCTGCTGGGTATTGAGGGGGTGGGAGGAGAGGGAGGGGGCGGAGTGGGTGGTAAGGGAGGGGGTGGGAGCAGGGAGGAGAAATGACGCAAGCGTTGTATACACATATGAATAATAAAACAATAAAAAATAAATAAAATAAAGAACTAGGTATATATGTATTGTCAATATTTTTCAGAAGTCTGAATCCGAACAATAGTAAGGGTCTTTTTAGAAGCATGTCAAGCTGATTCAGAATTTTATACTGAAAGGTAAAGAAACTAGAAAAACCAAATCAATTTTGAAAAAGAACAAAGTTAGAGGACTCATTATTACTTTTTATTTTGGCCACACTGAGGTTGTGAACTCAGGGCCTCACATGGACTAAGCAGGCACTCTACCACTTAAGCCACTAGAAGGAAAGGTACAGAAACAGACCCACACATACAAGGTCAATTGATTTATTCAGCGGTGAAAGGACAAGGTTTTGAATAAATTCTGCTGGATCAACAGGACATCATATGCAAAAAAAAAAAAAAAGACAATTGAGGGAATTCAATACAATGTGAAACTCAAAACTATCAAATTTTTAGAAGAGAACATAGAAAAAAACTCTATGCTCTTGGATTAGGCGGGATACCAAAACCACAAGCCATAAAAGGAAAATTAATAAAATGAACTTGGTCCAAACATTACAATTCTGTTGTTACAAAAAAGAAAAAGTAGCCATGTGTCAGTGGCTCACACCTATAATTCTAGCTACTCAGGAGACAGCAATCAAGGGGCTCTCTCCTGGCTCGAAATCAGCCCCAAGCAAACAGATTGCAAGACCCTCTCTTGAAAATACCCACTACAAAACAGACTAGCAGAGTGGCTCAAGTGGTAGAGTGCCTGCCTAGCAAGCATGAGGCCTGAGTTCAAACCCCAGTACTGCCAAAAAAGAAAAAGAAAAGCCACAGACAAGAAAATGTTTGTAAAATATACAACTCATAAAGGGACTTGTATAAAAAACATTTTAAACACAATGCAAAAAAATTACAAAATGGGCAGAAGATGGGAAAGACACAATCAAAGAACATAAAATAGCACATAAGCACATTTGGAAATATCCAATTAAGGACACCACTCCACACCTATGAAATTTGCAGGAAAATCTAATAAAACCAAATGTAGTGAAGACATGGCCTAACTTAACTTTCAAACATGGCTGGTACACTATGGCCACTTGGGAAAACAGCTTCTTAAGACGCTAAACACACCAAAGGATCCAGCAATCCCACTGCTAGGTATTTACTCAAGAGATATTAAAACCTACGTTTGTAGAGAAGCCTGCAGATGAATGTTCATAGTGGCATTATTCTCATTTAAGGGGAAAAACCAGAAATACCAAAAATAGGAGTAATACTCAATAGTACAGATCAGTGGTCACCAATGCTGGGAGTGGGGGGAGGGCCATAGGGAATTTGAGGGCAGTGACCCTATCTTGTACATCTTCATCGATAGTGCGTAGGTGAATGCATTTGCTTGAGAAAGCATCCCCAAAACAGTACCTTTTTCCTGCATGTAAGTCATACCTCAGTAAAAAGACTTTTAAAACATAATCTAGACATTTGTTGAAGCTCTGTTGAGAGAGAAACAGAAGAGCACACCTTGTACAGTTCAAGCAAGTTAGTCATAAAATTTGGGGTTGTTTTCTTTTTAAGTCTGCTTCAACTTCTATGCTACAGAAGTCAGAAGGCAGCTCCCTGGAGCAGAATTAATAAAGTAAGACAGAGGGACCTGGCGGATTGCTCAGGGGTAGAGGGCATGCTTGGCACGGAGAGTCACTAGGTTCAATTATCTGGAACCAAGAAAAAAGTGAAAAAAGTAACAGACAAGGAATCACAAGTACATTTTAAAAAAATGCAGGCTATTTGCTAATCAGAATACATTGGGCTTTTTGTAAATGTTTACCTTCTTTGAAAAGAGGCACAAAGGTGTCCGTTTTTCAAAGAGATTTTTTTCCCCTTTTCTTGAGGGAGTTTTGAACTCAGAGCCAGGCACTTGCTAGGCAGGCTCTACCTCTTGAGCCACGCCTTCAGACCTTTTTCCTTCACTTGTTTTTCAGAGAGGGTTTCATGTTTTTCACCCTGGCGGATTTCTGATGACAGTCTTCCTACCTACTGCCTCTAAAGTAGCTGGTAATAGAGGCGTGAACCCCCACATCTGGCTTGTAGATACAAATGAAATCATTCTGCAAAAATATTTTTAGAAAACTATCAAAAGCTTGCCATGGGTGAGCATTAAGTGACTTACATATTAACACACATTCACGAGAACCAAAAGATGGAAAGGTACTTTTAAAAATTCTTGTGCTTGAAACTTCAGCAAAGCCGTTCTGGGGGCTCACATCTTCAATCACAGCCTTTCTGGAGGCTGAGAGAACGACGACTGCAGTTCCAGATTAGCCCCCGCAAAAAGTTTGAGAGACCCCATCTCAGTCAATAGCTTGACAGGCACCTGTCATCCTACAGAGCGTAGGAAGCATTTGAAAAAAAAAAAAAAAAAAAAGAGGATCTGGTCTAGGACAGTCTGGGCAAAAAAAAAAAAAAAAAAACACACCAACAACAAAACCTTATCTCCAAAACAACCAGAGCAAAAAGGGGTGGAGTGGCGGAGTGGCTCAAGCAGTAGAGCTCCTGCCTAGCAAGCTGAAGACCCTAAGTTCAAACCCCAGTACCACCAAAAAAAAAAAAAAAAGCAACTGTACAAGCCCGGGTATCATAAAAGCAAAGCGTTAAATCAGTAATAAAAGCATTCCTGAGTAATCCTCGAAAGGATCGTTTGCCGGATATATTTAAAACTTGTGCCGCCCTAATCCTTATTTCAAGAAGCTCCGCTTTTGGTTTGAAGACCAGGAACCGCCTAATCACCGTCTTACCAGACAACACGGGTTTGCTGTTCAGGGCCTTTTTTCAAGGCGCTCAGATGGGGACCACAATTGAGACCAAACTTAGCTGCGGGGCTGCGCACACGGCGTCCGTGCGTCCCACGGACGGGCATGAGACCCGCGCCTCGACGGGGACGCCGGGGGCCTCTCCAGGGCGCACCCTGCGCTCGGAGGGCTGTTTTCCTCCCCGCAGGCCCCTCGCATAGAACCTTCTAGACTACACACGAAGACACCCAGAGCGCTAAGATTCCCTGCCCAGACAGCTACAAAACTACACCCACGGTCAGCCCCGCGAGGGACCAACACACCACCAAGTCTGAGCAGTGACCAAGGGGGAAGGGTGAGGCGCCAAATGCCCCGTCCGCGCACATGCACTGCAGGTCCCAAAGGGGTGGAAGGGGGCTGGCTGTCCCCTGTTTCTGCCCTGTTGAACTGAACTCGGTAGGGTATAAAGCTTTAGGATCAAAGCAGACGAGAGGCGGCTCAGGCGGCACCCACAGGAGCCGCAAAGAGAGGCAGAGGGGCAGGGTGTACGGATGGTTCTGGAAGGGTTGCCGCACTGGCGTTCGCAGCTCCGCAGGGGCCAGGGCGGAGGGGGCTGCAGCCCGTCGGGTAGCAACAGGAGCGAGGTGGTGCAGTGTGAGCGCAGTGCGTCAGCTGACCGCCGGGAGCCAATGAGCACGTGGCTGGAGGGGGCGGGGCTGGCGGCTGGAGGGGGCGGGGCAGGCAGCCAGCGTCAGCGAGCTTGCCGCATCCGCAGCATCTCTCCGGAGCAGCTCGGTGGACGCCCTGTGTGTGCGACAGCTCCGGGCCTCTGCGGCAACTTGTCAGTCATGGCCGACTCGGAAAACCAGGGCCCTGCGGAGCCGAGCCAGGCGGCGGCGACGACGACGACGACGGCGGCGACGGCGGCGGCGGCGGCAGCGGCGGCGGAGGCGGCAGCGGAGGAGGTAATGGCGGAGGGCGGCGCGCAAGGGGGTGACGCGAATGGAGCGGCCGGCCACTCTGACAGCTCGGCCGCCCCGATGTCCGAGGAGCCGCAGACCCCAGCTGAGAATGCGCCCAAGCCCAGAAATGACTTTCTCGAGAGCCTGCCCAATTCCGTCAAGTGCCGCGTCCTGGCGCTCAAAAAGCTGCAGAAGCGCTGCGACAAGATAGAGGCCAAATTCGATAAGGAATTCCAGGCTCTGGAAAAGAAGTACAACGACATTTACAAGCCCCTGCTCGCCAAAATCCAGGAGCTCACGGGGGAGATGGAGGGCTGTGCGTGGACCTTGGAGGGGGAGGAGGACGAGGACGAGGAGTTCGAGGAGGAGGAGGAGGAGGGCGACGACGAGGAGGACGACGAGGCTGCGGCGGAGGCCGCGGGGGCCGCAGGTGACGAGCACCACACCGAGGCGCCTGATGACGCCAAGAAGTAAGAGGGCCGACCGCGCAGACAGGTGGCAGAAACAGCGACCCCCCCCCCTTTTTTTTTTTAAAGTATTGATGGACTTTAAAAGGCTCAGGTGTTGGACCAAAATGTGAATCTATTCTGACATTCCTAAAGTCAATTAAAGTAAGTAGATCCTGGCCAGCCCATTCCAAATTTGACTTTTCTTCTGAACACAACCAAGATGCCAGAAGATGCAGAGGTGCGGTGGCGGTGGTCCGCGTGGTCTCTAGAGTAAGGACTGGACAAGGCAGGAAAGTGCGTCACGCTGAAACCCACTCATCCCGCAACCCACTTCACGCGCAACCCCACGCCAGCCTTCATCCTCTCATCCTGACGTTGCGCAGTGCAGAGAAAGAAAGACGTCATCAAAAAGACTGCATTGCAGCCCAGACACCAGCTTTGCCCGGGGGAAGAGATGGCGTTGGAGACAGCCTACGATGAAGTCATGACACTACTGATGATGAGACCAGGAAAAGGGCTTTTGTTCTGAGAAAGGCTCTTGAGTATCTGAGTTTAGAGAAGAGACACGGTTCCCAACAGGAGGGTGTATAACCTGTATTATATTGTCAACCTATGTACTCATCAGTTACAGTCTCATGTTTATGTGTTTTCTTGTTAATGTCTATTTACAAAAGTGTAAAAAAAATACCCCAGATGTTTGAGTATTAAATCACTTTATCTAGAATTGTAGAAACATTAATTTACTTGAAGAGATGTAGAATGTAGCATATTCTGTAAAGCATGTGTACCCAGTGTTACCAAGTTTGATTGTTGTGAAGTCTTTCTGTCATGTAGCTTTTAGGATGTAGCTGTGAAAACCATCAGAACTCCACTAAAGCTAATGTTTGGAACAAAATATATACTTGAATCAATCCAAGTGTGTTCCCCCACCCCCAGCTCAGAAGTAGAAAGGGTTTGAGTTTGCTTGTATTAGCTGTGCCTTCATTATTTGCTATGTGAATGTGACATATTAAACATAAAATGGTGCATAATTGAATTTTACTGCTTGAGGACAGCCGGCATAGAGAAAAGATCCTTAGGAAGAACACATTTGATTTAAAGACCCTTGACTTCTGTGCAGGTTTGAAGTGTATGTGACCCAGTGTTCTATACAGAAACATAAGCATAAAGTTGTTTACCACTGTGGTGTTAATAAAACAGTATTTTCAAAAATAAAAAAGACTCGGGATTTTCACTGACTGCGTGCTTCTCATTTATAAAAGCGCACAGTAATAGCCCCTTCCTCACAATTATGAAAAACTAATGACTTAATCACATAAAGTCCATAAACAGTATCTGACATACAGTAAGTGCTGAATAATTTTCAGCTATTATTATTATTACAGGAAAGATAAAGACACTGATTGGAAATCCAGCCCTCCTTTCCTGCTGCAAAAGGGGAGAAAGTAGCCATTATTATATCCCTATCTGTATGAGTCCTTATTATCAGAGAAAAATGTTCTCTTCAATTAAAAAGTACAGGAAATTCAAGAAACTATCTTGGTTTTGTTTCCTTAATATAAAGTCAAGTTTTAATTTCCTCCCAGAAAAGATAAGACTTTAATGTGACATTATGAATATGCAAAAAAAAATTAAAAATCAAATGCTAATCTCTTCCACTTCCCTTAAGGGTTAAAACTACGCAGAAGCAAAATCTGACTGCATTGGTAAGAAATGGACGGCCGGCAGCTCTGACCTGTTGCTAATGACAACAGCTGAGCACAAATGCCAAGGTGATGCCAATCTTCCTCATGGCCAGGCTGATCAGAAGAAATCAAAATAATATATTACATAATTTGTGATTATATTAGTTATTTTAACAGAAGCAAAAAAAAAAACTAGTAATATTTAATACCCACTTATTTCCAGAAGTGGGAGATACTGTCATTTAATATTTATTTCTAGGTCCAATAAAAAGCAAAAGTGATTAAGCCCAAATAAAAGGTCTACTTACTGGGAAATTTGTTTTGCTGGCATATGATTATTTATATAGAAAAAAACCCAAGAGAATAAACTGAAGAATTATTAGATACGGATTTGATGAATTGATTGGTTATCAGATAAATATACAAAAACCAGTAACTTTCTAGGCACCAAAAATGACCGAAATATATGGGAACTAAATAGAAATAAGTCAATATATATACATGTGTATATGTGTGTGTGTGTAATAGCCTCTAATAAAATATGAGTATAACCTATATGAAAACTAAAAAAAAAAAAAAAAACTTCACAAAGAAATGTAATAGGCCTTTCAGTTTTAAGACTGAATATCACAAAAATGTTTATTCTTCCCATATTAGCTTTTAATTTATCACGATTCAGATCAAAATCCAAACTGGATCTGGATTTATATATTATTACCCTAACATTTTCTCATAAGAATAGCTAAGACAACTTAGCAATTTTAAAACAATTTAGAATTTTACAAGACTCGATAAAGAAAATACATTAAATACTTATCAACTTCTGGACACAGAAAGGCTAAGATTAGAGTACATAAGACTGAAAGAAATAATTGACATGACAACACAAAAATTAGGAAATTACAAAGATTTAAACACATACACTTTAGATTTTCAAATACAAACAAATGATGAATAATATCTACAATAAATATGGACAGCAAAGGGCTTAATATAACGAAGAGTCTGTACAAATCATATGAAATTGGTTAGTCTTTTTAGAGAAATACATGAAGAGCATCAACAGATCACTTTAAAAACAGGAGTATTAGAGGGAAACATGCAGCCCTGTACTGCAGCACTGGGTTCAACAGGGCTCTAGCGAGATCTGGAAATGCAGGTTCCCAGCTGTGTGCCCAGGCCAGCAGGCGTTCTAAGACTTCAGCTATGGTTTTCCAGTCATACCATACCACTACTGAAGAGATGCTTACGAAGCCCTTCGTAATGTCATGGGATTTCCATGGTTTCCTAACTGGACTGACCTTACCCATTATTCCCTGGACTGCTTATTTAATAGTTCGTCAGTCGGTCATGAAACCCACATGCTAGTATCTACCAAGATACTCTCCATGGCAAGTCAAATAAGCCATTTTTAACTCATTTCAGGCCAAACTTAGTCAGCAAAACACAAATCAACCGGTAACCAGTTCTAAGAGTGTTGCACAGAAAAGACAGCATTTTGAGGCACACTGGGCAAGCACAGCACAGCACAGCAGCTTTCTCCACCTGAGTTTATATTCACTGCATACACACAGGCACATCTGCATTGCACACAGACACACACATGCTTTTTTAAAATTAAGATGAAAATTCCATGACATAAAACTAACAATTTTTAAGGAAACAATTCAAGAGCATTTCATACATTCATGATGTTGTAAACCACCATCTCTGACTCAATTAAAATGAACCTGAAGAGTAGACATGGCATTTGGGCATGGCTCCAGTGATAGAGCACAAGGCCTTCAGTTCAAACCCCAGTGCTGCCAAATAAAATAAAGAACTTACTCTATGAAAGGAACTGAATATTATTAAAAAAAAAAAAAGCAACAGCATTAAAATGGATCAATGCTCTGTAGCATATTTACAGTAGCCAATGTGTGGAAAAAATGCAAAAATTTTTAATCAGATTAAATTTCTTACTCATTTTTTTGTAAAGAGAATAACACAATGTAACAATTGGGTGGCACGGGTATTCTTACACACTGATAGTGATGTCTAAACTAGTATAATTTATTAGCAAAGTCAATTTAGCAAAAATATCAAAATGCCATATATTTTAATTCAATTTTATCCTTGGGACCTTATCATTAAAAAGTAATTTTTAGGGCAAAAAGAAAAAATCATTTAGGGCTGGAAACATGGCTCAAACAGTAGAGCACCTACCTAGCAAACCCTGAGTTCCAAACCCCACTACCATCAAAAAAAAAAAAATCCTTTATAAACAAAAGCTGCCTGAAACAGTCTTATCAAAAATAGCAGGGAATAAAGGGAGATAAAGAACATACAAGCAAGCCAGATAGGCAAAGGCAGTCTGCATTTACATAGCAGACTGTAAAAGCCACTATCAAAGGTATCCACAAGGGTTTTGCAACATTTTAAATACTGCATAAGCACCGTCTTCCTTTGGTTAAAAACTCAGACATTTCATTTCATACATATAGCATGTTTTTAACTAGGTCAAACTTGTTCTTTAAACAACTACACTGTCTGCCTGAAAGGAGAGGAAGACAGGAAATCCAGAGCCCCAATCTCAGTCTCAGTGGCAGTGTGGTGATGTTCATGGAGCAAAACTCTTAAGTTGAACTATCTGGTTTTAAATCCTAAACTTCTAGCTATGTAGATTGACTAAATGACCTAACCTCTCTGTGCCTCAGTTTCCTCATCTGTAAATTGGGAAGGCTTACATGACAAATACTTAGTGTCCTCACGTTAAGTGTTACTGGCATTTTAATTACTCTCTGTTCCTATAATGGGCCAGGGTACCCCTTATAGACTGTCATGAGACATTCAGTAAATCTGCCGAAGTCCCAACTTCAGTAGATCCTAAAAATCGAGAAATGTTTGTCATGCTTGAGTTTTATTTTCAGGCTCTCTCTACTGACTGTGTGCTCTTTGGAACAAAAAGGATGGCAACAATTGTATCAAATTGAGGTAAATTTGGGGGAAGCTAGAATAATAGTTTTTCAGTAGTGTTAATGACTTCATGTCACAGGGTGTGAGAAAGTCTTAACCATGAGTAGCCATGTATACAGTATTATCCAGAGGTGGCTACAGCTGTGGCAAGATTTGACTATGAGGTGGACGCTCACAATCAGCCACAGGTGTTCTTATACCTGGATGCCTACAATACATTTGACTGGACAGCTCTTTTCTAAGGCTAGAAAGCAATTTTAAGAGCAAATAGAATGGAATATATTATGGATACAGAATTGGTATTCTTTTGGCATTTTCTGCCAACACTGCCATGACAGCAAATATCTTAATAAAAGCAGCTGTGTTGCAGCAGTAACTGTGTACACAATTTCCAAATTAAAAATCCAATGGATTTTATTCTTATAGTTCTTTCATTTCATTTTCATGATCATGTAATACAGGACCTACTGATAAGATTATGGTGTATCACGGGAAAAGGAAATAACTTTAATGATTAATCTTTTACAACTGCATACAACCTTTCTTACCAGATCTCAAGGTACTTTACTAAGATTTCTGTTTTGTGCAACATAAAATAAAAATTTTAAAATTTACCTCTTTTTCTTGTTGTCACTAATCATAACAGCTGTATCAAGTAGTGTGGCAGTAACCATATTAGAACCACAGTGGGTTCTTGAAAGCTGTGCAACAGTATACTATGCTGAATATTTGTGGCCCCATTCCCAAATTTGTATGTTGAAACCCTACCTCCCAGTGGATGGTATTAAAAGGTGGGGCCTTTTAGAGGTAAATCAGACTAGATGATGTCATGAGGATGGAGCCCTCAGGAGTGGGATCAGTGGCCTTATAGGAGTCATGAGAGAGCTTGCTTCCCCTGGCTGCTCTCCAACATTCAAGAATATAAGAAGTCAACAGTCTGCAATCCAGAAGAGAACCCCCATAGAATCTGACCCATGTTGACACCCTGATCTTGGACTTTGAGCCTCCAGAACAATGAGAAATACATTTTGTTTTTTATAAGCCACCCAGTCTATAACACTG